TTTCATTGATTCTTTGTACTGTTCTCCTTGTTTCTATTTTATTGATTTCAGTCCTCAATTTGATTATTTCCTGGCATCTTCTCCTCCTGGGTGAGTTTGTTTCTTCTTGGTCTAGAGCTTTCAGGTGTGCCCTTAAGTTACTAATGTGAGGTTTCTCCAACTTCGTTATGTAGGCATTTAATGCTGTGAACTTTCCTCTTAGTACTGCTTTCATAGTGTCCCACAAGTTTGAGTATGTTGTACATTCATTTTCCTTGAATTCTGGGTAGTCTTTAATTTCTTTATTTCTTCCTTTACCCAGTGGTGATTCAGTTGAGCGTTGTTCAGTTTCTATGAGTTTTTAGGCTTTCTGCAATTTGTGTTGTTGTTGAATTCTAACTTTGAGCCATGGTGGTCTGATAAGATACAGGGGGTTATTCTAATTTTTTGTATCTGTTGAGATTTGCTTTGTGACTGAGTATATGGTCAATTTTAGAGAAGGTTCCACGGGGTGCTGAAAAGAAGGTATATTATTTTATGTTTGGGTGGAATGCTCTGTAGATGTCTATTAAGTACATCTGAGTCATAATATCTGTTAGTTCCCTTATTTCTCTGTTATGTTTCTGTCTGGCAGACCTGTCCATTGGTGACAGTGGGGTGTTGAAGTCTCCCACTACTAGTGCGGGGGGGGGGGGGTTGATGTGTGATTTAAGCTTTAGTAATGTTTCTTTTACATATGTGGGTGTCCTTGTATTTGGGGCACAAATGTTCAGAATTGAGACTTCATCTTGATGGACTTTTCCTGTAATAAATATGTAACGTCCTTTTCAATCTGTTTTGATTAGTTTTAGTTTGAAGTCTATTTTTTTAGATGATAGGATAGCTACACCAGCTTGCTTCTTAAGTCCATTTGATTGGAAAGTCTTTTTCCAACTCTTTACTCTGAGGTAGTGTCTGTCTGTCTTTGAAGTTGAGGTGTGTCCTCAGAAGGATGGATCCTGTTTTTGTATCCATTCTGTTAGCCTGTTTCTTTTTATAGGTGAATTGTGTGTGTGTGTGTGTGTGTGTGTGTGTGTGTGTGTGTGTGTGTTTGTGTGTATGTGTGTTTCCCTTCTTTGGGATTTGCTCGTGTGGGATTATCTATTGCTTGTGTTTTTGTGGGTTCATCTAACTTCTTTAGGTTGGATTTTTTTCTTCTTGTGCCTTCTGTAGGGCTGGATTTGTGAACAGGTATTGTTTAAATCTGGTTTTGTCATGGAATATCTTGTTACTCCATCTATGGTGATTATAAGTTTTTCTAGGTATAGCAGTCTGGGCTGGCATCTGTGTTCTCTTAGTGTTCGCATAATGTCTGTCCAGTACCTTCTCACTTTCAGAGTCTCCATTGAGAAGCTGGGTGTTATTTTGATGGATCTGCCTTTATAAGTTACTTGGCCTTTTCCCTTTGCAGCTTTTAATATTCTTTCTTTATTCTATATGTTTATTGGTTTGATTATTATGGGGGTAGGTGACTTTTTTGTGGGGTGGGGTCCAGTCTATTAGGTGTTCTGTAAGCTTCTTGTATCTTCATAAGCTTTTCCTTCTTTAAGGTTGGGAAAGTTTTCTTCTACGATTTTGTTGAATATATTTTCTGTGCCTTTGGGCTGGTATTCTCCTTCTTCTATGCCTATTATTCTTAAGTTTGGTCTTTTCATGGTGTCCCAGATTTCCCAGATGTTTTGTGTTATGACTTTGTTGGCTTTAATGCTATAGTTGACCAACAAATCTATTTCCTCTATTATATTCTCTATGCCAGAGATTCTCTCTCCCATTTCTTGCATTCTGTTGGTTGTGCTTGCATCTGTAGTTCCTGTTCGTTTACTCAGATTTTCCATTTCCAGCATTCCCTCAGTTTGTGTCTTCTTCATTGTTTCTATTTCAATTTTCAGGTTTTGAACTGTTTCCTTCACATGTTTGATTGCTTTTACTTACTTGGTTTTCTTGGCTTTTTTGAAGCCAAGATAGACTTCTTCCAATTTTTTGTTTGTCTTTTCCTTGATTTCTTTAAGGAAATTTTTCATTTCCCATTTAAATGCCTCTGTCATCTTCATAAAGTCATTTTAAGGTCATTTTCTTCTGCTTCTTCTACATTGGGATGTTCAGGTTTTGCTGTAGTAGAACCACTAGTTTCTGATGGTGCCATATTGCTCTTTGTGTTATTGAATGTATTCTTGCACTGGCATCTACCCATCTCTTCCTCCAATCAGTGCCAATGGTGTTTATGTCTCAGGGAGCTGCTGGGGTCTCTGAGGGGGGATGGGTGGGTTTGGGGGACAGAATGGGGCTTGTATGTTACAGGGTCCAATGAGGATTGGTGGGAAGGCATGCCTGCAGGAGTCTTGCCTTGCCTGCCTGCAACTGGGTTGCAATGGGTGGGGCTGGGGAGGCATGGGTTGTGCCTTGGAGCCAAGGCCTAGAGACTGGGCTGACTAGCTGGGAGAACAGTTACTCACCTCTTGGTTCAATAGGAGCTGGCGTAGTCTGTGTCTCAGGGAGCCACTGAGGTCTGGGGAAAGGGGGCTAGGGGACAGAGTGGGACTTGTAGATTACAGGGTCCGATGGGGGGGTCATGGTGGGCAGTCTTGCCTGCAGCAGTCTTGCCGGCTGGCCTACAACTAGGGTGGGGGTTCTTATTAGCATTTTAAATTAGAAATCTGGGCAACCCCGAGAAGACCTTGGCAAGTAAATTTCCATTAAATATTATTTAAATAAAATAGAACTGTGTAACTTATTATCAAGTATTAATTTATTTCCCTTCTTACAAAATCAAGAGCCAATGATATATGTTCTATGGTAGTGTCTCTTTCATTATATACCCATGTATGTGTGTGTACATATACATATCTCCTCCCTTTCTATGGTACAAACCAACTCTATGCAGAAGAAAATAATAGGATTGTGGATGTCTATAATCACTATACTTCAATTTCTATTAATTTAGGGGTGTGTTTTATGTCCATTTTAGACTAGTAGCTCTTGGTAGTAGCATATATATCCTCAGTAGTATTTATCAAATAAAACTTGCTTCTTAACTATTTGAGATAGGAAAGAATAGCCAGGTGGACACAAACACTTGAGGGCATTAGTGAACAAATCCAGTTGTGACACTCCTCTCCACTGCAGGAGTTTCAAAGTATTTTCAGTAGCACAATGCTTAACTTCTTGCTTGAAGGAAAGTCAAGGGCAGATTTTGCCCATTTGCTGTCTTTCTGCTCATAAAGACAAATACCTTTACTACTTATAGGGAGATGCACAGGGTTGAACTGAAAAAACATATGGGTTTTTCACGTTTCTTCAACCTATCTAACATATTTGGTTTAAACAACATCGGTGAACTAACAAAGAGAAGTGACAATTTTATCTATGAAAACAAGAGGTTTAATGGGCAGACAGAAGATATTGTCAGGTTAGGTCAAAAGAACAACTGTTAAGAACTTCGTTTGAAAGAACAGTTTCTATAAGAGAATGATTTTCCCATGGGCTGTGAGTGCACCTCTTACTGGAATGCCTGTTACATGCCTGATGCTGTGAGTAGAGGTGTCTGTGTACATGAAAAAGTTGAGGAAGCAGAGAAAAGCATCCTTTCTTCATTATCAGTCTCTGGGATCGGGGAAACTGACCACTTCAGCTTGTGTATAACATTTGTGTTATGAAATCTTACATCAAGTAATAAAACGTGTATGTGTTGGAGCAAGCCCAAGAAAACAACAAACATTTCTGACCTCAACCCCTCCCCCCACTGCTTTCAAAAAAGCATGTGGCCTGACTGAGAAAACTGCACAGTGAGCATAGAAAAATGTTTCCCAGTGCCACAGTTCATTTTACAGAGAAATTTCCCTCAATAAGGCTAAGAGCGGCATTGATCTATGGGTATAAAAACAGATGTTTAGGAGGCAGTTTCCTGTCATGCCAGTTTAACTAAACAACAATAATATGTTACCCAGTGGGGTCTGTGACAGTCTGACCTATGTGTTTTTACCAGGTTTACAGTATCAGACATGAATTCCCTCCTGTGTAATGGACCTTGAATCTAATCAGACAGAGGTTCATTGCCCCATAAGGAACAATTGTGTCATGGTGTTCAATGTAGGGACTCCTGTCTGCTCCAAATGCTAAGAATAGGGAATTTTTGAGAGTTCAGCTTTAAACATGACATTTATGGCATGTCTTGAAGGCATAGGAACCAATGAGGCCAGAGAGGGTAGGTACTGTGTTCAGTGGCAGGTCACATGACTTTCCCTCAAGCAAACACACACACACACGCTGTAAAAAGAATTAAAAAAAATGATTTCAGACTTTGTATTTGGGTCCCTACTAGCAGAGTATAGAAGCCCATGGATCCCACCAAGTTTCAGGAAAAGTAGTGATAGAAACCAAGATCTCTCAGGGAGGTGACCAACACATACCAAAGGACTCTGAAGAACAACAGAACTTAGAAATGTCCTGAAAACCACAGCAAAGGGTGATCCAGCCCTGTGCCATCCCCTACAGTAGCCACTGGCCTCATGTACCTACTGACTTGAAATGAACACAGTTAATGAACGCAGTTAAAATGAAAGTCAAATCTACGTACAAGATTTTAAAGAATTAATACAAAAAAAAAGATTATGGAAAGTCTGATTAATAACATTTAAATACTGTTTAACGCTGAAATGATAATATTTTTACATGTTGTGCTAAATACAATATGCCATTATAATTAAATTATCTTTGTCTTCAACTATGGCTGTTCAGAAATGCACTCGTTGATATTGCTGGGCTAGATACTCTCAATGAAACTCGCTTATATAAATAATAGCGAGCACACTCACGTTATACTTAAAGGAATTCTTACTCCACTTACCTAATCTGAAATCTTTCAAGATATATTTTGTATTTTGTGAGTTTATTTTAACATTTTGTGATCAGGTATATTATTTTATCCCAAATGTAGCTACTCTATCTTACTGAATGTTTTCCTCTTTTTATTTTCCTACCAACAGATGATGCAGCAGCTGATAGCCGCAGAACTTATTCACTAGCTGATTATTTAAAGAATACTTTTAGAGTCAAGTCCTACACCTTGCGATGGGTGTCAGGTAAGGCCCATGAGATGGAAATGTTACATTTGTATTCATTCTAGTGAGCTTGGGTTGCTGAGTGCTTTGGGCAGTGAGAAGATACAATCCTCACTTTTAAAACTCTATGCAGAGTATTTATTCTTGTTTAGAAGTGAAAGGAGGAACTGGACAGTGGAGGCATATGCCTTTAAGCCCAGCACTCAGGAGGCAGTAGCAGGTATATCTCTGTGAGTTCGAGGCCAGCATGGTCTACAGAGTGATTTTCAGGACAGCCAGGGCTACACAGAGAAACTCTGTCTCAGAAAAACAAAACAAAACAAAACAAATAAAAAAAATTACAAAGGGAAGAAACTGAAGTTTTTTTGTTTTTGTTTTTACTATCTACTGTAAAGAGTTAAATATGAATTGAATGCTTGACATGAATGACGGACATATAAATTGGTGTTAGTACAATGTCCTTTGTTTCTGCTTGCCCAGCATAGAGTATTTATGTGCCCTGTGTGAGCTTAATTTTTAAAAATTTAGATTATGGAAGTGTTTGACAGCAACTTGTAATACTGATCTGGCTGCTTTCTCTCTTCAGATTATGAATACCTCTACAAACAAGAAAACAATCTCTTGCTATTCAATGCTGAACACGGAAACAGCTCCATTTTCTTGGAGAACAGCACCTTTGTATGTCTGGTCCCACATTTAGTTCATGTATGGAATTCTGGGGACTGTTTTCATTTCTTTTCAAATCATGAGGACTCATTTCTCACCCTGTCGGACTCTGCAGCACATGGCCCAGTGGATCTTTCTCTCCTTCTTGAAATGTTCCCCGCCTTGGCTACTTTTTAGTCTCCTTTGATGATTCCTCCTCTACCTGTGTGTTTGAATGTAAGTGTTCCTCCGGCTTTGTCCTCACTCCCGGGCCCCTTTCCTCACTCTGGGCGCTCCCTCCCCTTGGGTGAATGCCATGCACTTCCACGACACTGGTTTTTATCTTCCATGGCTTGGTTCTAAGACACATACTAACACTAACCTCTCAAGATCCCAACTTCACTTTCCAAGAACCTGTTAGCCCTACACTGCTCCTGTGCATATTAAATTTCACATCCCAAGCTAAACTGGTTTGTCTCCTTTGGTGTCCTCGAGTCTCAAGCCGTCATATTCTTCTTGTGCAATTCCCTCCCAGTCTTGGAAATAATCACTCAGTTCTCTTCACTTACACTGGGAACTTTATAATCTTTAACTTTCCCATCATTACCCTATAATTAGCTATGCAACGCTATTGATTCCCTCTGCTGCATGCCACCTACCTCACAGATTTCCATCCCCACTGTGGTCGCTGTTGCTATTCAGGAGGCCAGACTGATACAACACCCCCTCTTTTCCTTCCGATCTCATCCACATATCACCAGGGTATCTTGTGAAAAATAAACAAAATAGATGGTACTATCGCCTTCACATACCAAAAAAACCCTTAGTTTGTAGTTTATGACCTATGTTTTTGTGACTTAATGTCCTTCCATTTCCACCGAGTTGGCACAGTCATGCTGTATTACGTCACCCTCAAACACACTCTAAACATGCCTGTTCTTCCCCATGCTGTCTCTCTGTCCATGCTGCCCTTCCTATTGAGAGAGTTTTCTCTGTGCCCCTGAACCATGTCCCTTCAGCTAATCCTTCCCTCTCTGGCTTTCTAACTGTCATCATTGCCCACCTAACATCACTGTCACTTGTGGGCGCGACTGTGCTATCTCTTCGTGACTGGAGATTCTCAAGGCACAATCCACATGTGTAGGGCTCCCTCTACCCAGTCAATGACCAGTGTGGGTATTCAAAACGTTCAGTGTTTTCTTTCTTCCGCATGACCAATAGGAAGCCTTTGGAGAGTCTATAAGTGATTATTCGGTGTCACCCGATGGACGGTTTGTTCTCTTAGAATACAACTATGTGAAGGTAAAGAAAATTCTTTTTTATATAACATCTTAAAGTGAATACATTTTTTTTCTAACTGACTTCAAGTATATGCATATTTAAGGATGATATCTGGTAACAGTGCTGACAGAAAAACCAGTTCAGTCTGCATCAAATATATGTTCTCTTTTATAAATGACAAATCTACTATCTTCAAAGGGATGTATTTTAATGATTTCAGGTACTAAAAGGCACAATGAACACATTAAGGATTCTAATGACATAGCTTAATCAAATTTATCATAGGAATTTTGACATGATTTTAAAGTAACTTTATGCATCTGACTTGTACACAGAGTGATCTAGTCCCATGACCCTCTCTTCTGAGTCTGTGTATAGTATGACCTTCAGTAAGTACTTGTTTTAAAGAGGTTAACACCCCCATCTTCCAGAGGAAAGTCAGACAAGGCCCCAGATGACATCCCAACCTTATTCAGGACAGTCTTGAATGACGCCTCAGCTCTAGTCACAAAGGTCCTACTGAGAATATTCAGCCTCTCCCAGTCACCTACGGAACGTAGAGTTCTCAGGCATTTACAAAGGTTATCATCAAGTCTTGCATCCTCTCCAGGGTCACCAGTTACTTTAGCTGAGCTTTTTTTTTTTTTTTTTTTTTGTTTTTTGTTTTTTGTTTTCAGTTGATAACAGCTATCAACTACAGAGTTTTAAAGTAGGGTTGGAAGGACTGAAAACTTCTAGAGACACTCTATGTTGAAAATGAAGTAGAAAGGCAGTGATTCCTCCTCTTGATTCTCCCCTCCCCCCGGGATTAAATAATGTTGAGTGGCCTTATCTCACAGACCAACCCTGCTGGACTCCAGCCAAGCCAGCACTCCCTTCTCTATTTGCCATCTCAGGATGGTGCTGCGCAGTCATAGTGTTTACCTTGGATCTACCGTGTGGGCTCTATTTCCTGCATAGGAAAACTCCGTCTTCTGCTAAACCCGTCAACTCTATGCACATCAGATGGCATACTATAAAAAATAAATCCCCTAAACAAATTTACTTGTGGAAAATTTAAAAGTCCTTGTGTCCAGCTTTAATCTCGCCACTCAAGTTTCTGGGATTAACTTGCTATCAGAATTTTCTAATGGTGTAGATTATTCCAACAAGCAGCCCAAGCTGCAAACTGGTGGGTGACAGTTATGAATGTTAAAAGCTAATGCATGAAGGTAAAGCAGAATCAGGATGAAGAAACCAGCTCAGGGTACTGTTTAGTCTGTGGTGACAAGTGTTGTGTGATGCACTGTTAGATGTAGCTCCCTGGCTGGCCACAGACATCAGCATTAGTGATGCATGTTTTCATCACTGGTATTTTCATCTCATTGTGTTATCTAGATCCTTCTATCCACTCAGACAGTAGTCAATGTGTTTCCTTTACATTATAATGTAGGTTAAGCTGTACCTGTGCTAATGTACTCCAATGACATCCTTTATGCAAAATAAGACAGCAGCATGCATAGCACGCGGAGCCTTGGTGCGTAAACCCCAGTCTGCCATCTGAAGCATCCTGTCCCACGCTCATGTTTGACCAGCATCCCTCTTCCCTGCTTCACTTCAGAGTCTCTTCTTTTTCCCTCAAGTATCACTCACATGCCCATCCAAGAGTGAAAGCACTTGCTATTGCTTCCTGCTGGAGCTTTCTTTTCTAGCATTTTCCAGTTTTCTGTCTTTATTTGTTCCTTTCCAGGCTGCCTTGGACCACTTTAACATGGCTTCCCATCATTCTGGCTATCCCACACCCCTCAAATCACTCTATCACTTTACCCTCTTTCGTTTTCTTCCTAGCACTTATGCCATTTTGCTATGTCTTTGCTTTTTTATTGCCTACCAATGTTCTTGCCAGTTTCTCCATTTTTTAGTCTCTACTGTATTTTCAGCTTCTAGGACTGGACTGCATAATAGGTGCTCAAGAAATAAATATTAGGTGAATGCATGCTTCATTGCAAACCACTGAATTCTTAGGTAGCTACAAACAAGGGAGCATGTCTTCCCTTTCTTCTTTCTTTTCTCTTTCTTTCTTTTTTTAAATTCTGAGAGTATCCAATAGAATTTGAGAATAATCAATGTCTTGATAAACATCTTCAGAAAAAGAAGAAAAGGCTAATATTATTGCATCTTTAGGCCATACATGGCTCAGTAGTTTTTTTTTTTGTTGTTGTTGTTGTTGTTTGTTTTGTTTTTTTAGATCCATCATATCTTCAGTCACTATTTCTAAGTTGTGAATAAAGACAAATGAGTGACTGATGTATGAGTGAGTGACTAGGTGTCCTGCCATCTGTGTGGATGCTCTCCTGGATATCTCTGCTCACTGCCACACACTCTGGAGATGGAGCTGTGTTAACTATCACATGCTGACTGTGCTCGCCAGCCTTGGAAGCACTTCATATGAATCCTCATGCACCTGCTGTTGTTTTTGTTGTCCGGTTTTCCTCAAAAATAAAACAAGTCTAGAAAGCAGCTTGTCTGACCTTATAAAATGGAGACTTTTGATTCCAGGGTGGGAGACGACACCACAGCTTAGGGTCTTACACATGGCCTTTCTTGTCTTTGTGTTTTAGCTTCTGTTTTATAGCAGTCTTTCTCTCATTCTCCATGGCAATCATCACTAAGAACTCAGCTCGAGAATCCTCTTTCCCACAGGTTTCTCTCTGGATCCAGAGCCACATTAGGATTGCACACTTTTCTGGCCTGCCTCCATTACAGTTCTTGGTACATCTTATTGTCATTTCTTTATTGTAGTGCCTGTCCTCATGTCCCCTGCTCAGTTAGGAGCCCTTTAGTGGAGCAGTGTTTGATAGGTGAGCACCCCAGTGTTTACAGGCTAAGTAGATTGATAAACCTATTTCGTTTTATGCCTCATGGGGATTCTGTCATGATTCTGAGATGATCTCAGTCTTTCTTAGTATTTCTAGACTTTACCACACCTTTTGGCTTTGGGAAATATTATGTTTGAGGTTGCCAAGAAACAAGCATCGGGTGTGTTGAAATAATCCAGGATTCAGGAAAGGAATGTATGACTTAATAAGAAATGGGAATTTAATAAATACTTGTTGACACGAGGGTGTAGGAGGGTGAGAAATGATAAGCAGGTGAGGCTAGGAGCCCTGGCTGTATCTCAGCGCTACTACCATGCAGCCAATTTCCTCCTTATTGACAGAGCTTGAATTTTATTGTAGTTTCTGGAACAGTATACAGGGTTTATAATACACTTCAGTTATCTAGTGATAATAAGATGCAACTACTGGAGTGCACAAATGTACACATAAGGAATTTCAAAAGTATCTTTAATTTTATCCACATACACACACCAATGCAGCTTTTCACAAATGCAAGGGTGTGCTCATACATATCATATATCTCCTACCTGTTTTTACTTAGTTTCCCAAAGCCTAGCATGTTTCTCTCTGTATTTTCTATTCATATAATGTCATGAAAATATACAGGGATCCTTTCCAGTTACTACTTGCTCTATAGAAATGGAATATGAGATCATAGAGTTCCTCCTTCCAAGTCATAGCTCTACTACATCTTAAAATTGATAGATAATACATTTTGGAGCAGCTTTAGGTTTGTTGAAAGTAAGTAGAAGGTCCCTCTACCCTTCTCATGTTCCTTTTCCCAGTCTTCTCTATAAACATTCTATATTGAAGACAATACATTTGTGGAAATGCAGGTGCCAACACTGACACTTGGTTATTAACTCATCTACAGTTTTACATTGGGGTCCTTTGTGAATGGTGACAATATGTATCCAACACTGAAGAGTCATGGAGATGAGAAGTCTCATTGTGAGAAGTCCCATGTACTTTGTCTATCTCCTTTCCTCACCACCAAGTACTACTGTCTCATGTTTCACCTTTTCCGGGAAGTCACACCATTAGTTCAATATGCAACCTTTCTGATTGCTTGATAGCTTTTTCTTTTCTTTTTTTTAATCACTGAATGGTATTCTATTACGTTCTCTATTACAGACTGTTAATTCACTCACCCCTTATTGAAGGATGTCTTAGCTGCTTCCAAGTTTGGACAAGTCTGAATAAAGCTTCTGTAAACATTTGTATATAGGTTTTAAATAGTAAGAGATTTTCTGCAAAGTATTTGGATATGAGATTTTCTTTACTTTCACTCATTGATTCCACATGTCTATTAAATGTAGGACTATGCAAGGAAAATTTCCTTGTTTCTACTTTTTATGATTTATTGAAAAGATGTTCACAGTGGTCTCTTAATCCTTTAATGATTGTGGGGTCTGTTGTGATGTCTCATTTTTCATTTCTGATAGTAATTTCTTATTTTTTTGTTAGGTTAACTAACAGAAATCAAAATTTTAACTGCCTGATAAAACCAACATTTGACCATGTTGATTTTTCGCCACTATATGCTTCTATTTCATACTGGTCTTTACTGTATTGTTTCCTTTCCTTTAGTTACCTTGTATTTAGTTTGCTGCTCATTTTCAACTGCTTGGTTGCTTAAAATTGAAGACACACACACATATTAATTTTAAAAAATATTTTCAGATAGCTTTAAAAATTGCAACACTAGATATTCTCATTATCATTGCACAAGGCATTCAGTATGCCTCCTTGTCACCACCAATGACAGAGTCAAAAATCTTCTAAATATTTTGGAAGCTATGTGGGTAAAATATGAAAATTTGAGTTTTTCTAAACAGGCACCCTTACCGTACTGTGCTCAAAATAGTATCACTCAATATCAAAACTGACGCTTTGGCCTACAGGGATCCTGTGAAAGGGATGCCAAAGTGAATAAACTCTTCATGACTTTCTATTGGATGGTTTCAAGGATATTTTCAATTCCAAAGTTCTAAGAATTTAAGGCATGGTAATATGTGATGAAATTTGAAATTTATTTGGTAATCTGTTACCATACCTGTTATCTTGAGTAAACAGCCAACCTGTCAGACTCACAGGAGTCTGAGACATCATTTTTCTTTTGCAGCAATGGAGGCACTCCTACACAGCTTCATACAGTGTTTATGACCTGAACACAAGGTCAGTGGTTCCCCGTTAAGACTACTGGGCTTTTCAGATGTAATTTTAAAGGCTATCTCACAGGGAGTTACTCTTTGGGTAATATATCCTCTTCTCTTCTCTCCAGAAAGCTGATCACAGAGGAAAAGATTCCAAATAATACACAGTGGATCACATGGTCACCAGAAGGTCATAAATTGGTTAGTACATGTCTCCCGCTGCCAGAAAAAGGTTGACTATATCTTTCATAGGCAGATGCCACTCACCCTACTATACAGGAGACATTTTGAAAGCCTGTTCATTCATTATATTAGAAATATAGGGCCATTACCCCAAACAATATTTTATTTTAGAATTATTAAAACTTCTAGACATGTATTATAGAGTTGCTTATTCACTAGGAAAAATGTTTATTAAACTCTTTAGCTCCCCTTGTGCTGTGCTTGAAGATTTTTGAGTCTCTCTTCAAATTCACTGTAGATATATTTCCTATTCTATAGTGCTAGAAGAATATTAGAGCCCACAAGAATTTAAATAACAAGATGGGATGATTTTTCCTCACTGTACTTCCCTCTCCAAGAATGCAGCTACATTACCTCTGCTAATATCCCAAGGAAGAAACACAAACATAAATCATCCTGTGTGGGCTGTATTAGGTCTTCACACACACTTCACCATCAACATAGTGACAGCTGTAAGCCTCCTTGTCTCAACATATTGGTAACTTTTTGCAGTTATTTCAAGGTTATGGACTATATACCTGTAACTTAAGAATGAGGATCCCACTAAATAGACTTTCTGTGGTTATTCTCTTATTTGAATAGTATTTTAAGATCCCAAGATAAAACATACTGTAACATGATTACTGATGTCAATGTTTTTCATCTTTTTTAGGCATATGTTTGGAAGAATGATATTTACGTTAAAATTGAACCAAATTCACCTAGTCAGAGGATCACATGGACAGGAGAAGACGGTGCAATATGTAATGGGATAGCTGACTGGGTTTATGAAGGTAGAGACTAAATCTTTAATTAGAATGTCTACAACTTTTTTTTCATTTTTCTTTATTAAGAAATTTTCTACTCACTCCACATACCATCCACAGATCCCCCCTCCTCCCAACCCCCAGCCCTCTTTCCCAAGCCACCCCACATCCCCACATCCCCCCAAATCGAGGTCTCCCATGGGGAGTCAGCAGAGCCCAGCACAGTGAGCCTAGGCAGGTCCAAGCTCCTTCCACTGCACCAAGGCTGTGCAAGGTGTCACACCACAGGCACTGGATTCCCAGAAACCTGCCCATGTACCAGGGACAGATCCCGATCCCCCTGCCTGGGTGCCCCCCAAAACAGTTTGAGCCAAACAAACATCTTCCATATCCAGAGGACCTAGTCCAGTCCCATGGGGGCTCCACGGGTCCCAGACCACAGTTCATGGGCTTCCACTAGACATCTACAACTTTTAAGACTACTTCAGCATTGCTATACTAAAAAATAGGGGGATTGAGTAGGATTCAAAATAAGTTGTGTACTAAAACATACTGTGGGATTTCTGTTAGACCTCACAGTGACACAGAACCCCTAACCGTTCCCAGTGCTGCCTCTGTCCCAATTGTCTCACAATACCCTGCTTGTCTTGGCTTCCTACCACAAAGAGCCATTCTGTGTTGCTCTTCTGGTTTTACCAGGGCATAACAGCATCCAGATTAACATCAGGTGTCTCTCCAAGGAGGCCTACCTAGCCCAGAAGTTTCCAAGGACTGTGAAATCTTCCACAATATTAAAAAAGAGATAAATCTTGTCTGCAGTTGCCAAATAGAAGGAAAGAAATTACTTGTTTCAGAAAGGATTTGTGTTCATCAAAAACTAACCCGGGACGAATCATGATTTCCTGTTTTTAAAGAAAGCAAAAGTAATTTGGAAAGTTTAGTTAAAAAAAAAAAACTAAAAAGGCATATTCTGTCTTTTAGGATAAAGATATTTAGGAAGTATTAAGAAAGCATTTTTCCATGTATTGGTTGCCAAGATAAAGGACATTTTGAGGCGGTTCCAAATAATTCACCAGGGCGCCTCATGTTTGTTAGAAAGACTCATCCTTGTTTCATCCTGTTATTTCTTCTTCAAAGTTAAAAAATAGTTTAGCTCCATGCTTGCCTTTTGATTCCTGCTCAGCCAGAATCAGGTTAATGTAGCGGGTAACACGTGACAACAGGCAGAATCAGGTTAATGTAGCAGGTAACACGTGACAACAGGCAGAATCAGGTTAATGTAGTGGGTAACACGTGACAACGGGCAGAAATAACGTCACGAGAAAAAGATGCTTCTATTGCTCAGGAGTAAGTGTTTGATTAAAACCAATAATGAAATTATAAGTTCTTTAAGTGGTGGGCAGCACCGTGGGTCCTCCAGGGCCTTCAACATGGAACAGGTAACAGCCTCCTCCCCAACCTGTGGCTCTTCTTGGAAACATCTGGGTGTTACTGAGATAAGACTCTAACTAATTCAGCCCATCTTCTCTGGGGTAATCTCTGGAGGAATTTCGTTTGTCGTGTTCACATCTGAGCCACCCGATGCAGGACAGTGCCCTCACAGCTTTCAAAGGGCCTTCCTCTAAAGATGGGCTTCAGTCCCTAGAGAGAAATCACTACATTGATAACTAGAGAAAAATATTCTCTGTCTTACAAATAAGTGCTAATTCAAATATGGCCCCAACTATACCCCTTACCAGTGTTTGAAAGTAATTATAAAACTAGAGCCATACCCTAATTACAGTGACGTAAAACCGTACCGGTGTACTGTGGACACAAACCGGTAGGCAAAAGTTCTAAGATATGAGATATGAACTCAGCATAGGAAGGACTTCTGAGGGCAAAGTTTTGAGTTAGAGTCCTAAGGTCAAAGTTCTGATTTCTGAGTAAAACATTTTACTCAATTTCCCTCAGTTTTCCTCTCTATAAAATGGTTTATGAATGGATTCATTTAGGAATCTCCATGAAGATCAAGTTGGATGTGGTTTATAAATTCCAAATCATTACATAAGTGTCACTCAGTGATTCAGGTCTGAAACAGTTAAGGGGAGAGAAGGCTGCCCTACCAAGGGATAGGTTTTCTGAAATGAAAACTGCTGAAAATCAGGCAGCTGTGAGCTGTATAAGAAATACAAGATGGTAAGCATTCTCTCAAACCTGAAAGGTTAATTTTTGATTCTATTAATTATTAGCCATATGACTTAAGGTGATTTCTTTTTTCAAAAAATAATTTACTTTTATTTCATGCACTTGGGTGTTTCGCCTGCATGTCTGTCTGTGTGAGAGTGGCAGATCTTGGGATTACAGACAGTTGTGAGCTGCCCTGTGGGTGCTGGAATTGAACCCAGGTCTTCTAGAAGGGTAGGTAGTGCTCTTAACCACTGAGCCATCTCTCCAGCCCCTTAAGGTGATGTCTTTAAATTCTTTTTAGCCCTGTTTTGTTCTCATCACCTGTGAAATGGGTTATAATGAAGAGTGCCTGGTAAAATAAATGCCCACTATTATCAGTTCCTGACATATGGCACTCATCAAACGTCAGCTATTATTCTTAGTTCTGCAGCCACTATTGCTGTTATTGAAAATGTATTTTTCGGAGAGCTGGACAGATGGCTGTGTTTTTTGTGTGACCATTTTGCAAAGGACCCGAGTTCAATTCCCAGCACCCATACTGGCTAGCTCACAACTGTCTGTAACTCGAGTTCTCTCAGGATCCAACGCCTGTGGACTGCTCAGTCCCCTTCACTCATGTGTATGAGTACCCACATACACATAATTTAAAAGAAAGATTTTCCCAGCCACTTGCAAAGAGGTCTTAGTTGTTCCAAAACTGATTGGCACCTGTAATTTCCTAAACTCTAAAATTCCAGAGTCTATGCTTTGATTTTTATACTTACACAGTGACATGAGATGCAGATTGGGACTTTCCACTGTCTACCTATATGTTTATCAATTTTATATCATTATAACAACCCCCCCCCCCCAAAAAAAAAGAAGTGAAGGTTCACTTTGACTCCGGGTGTCAGAGACTCAGTTCATGTTCACTTGGCCACTTGGCCACTTGGCCACATTGCTTTGCTTCTGTCTCGGCATAGTACACCTTGGTAGGAGTGTGTAATAGAAGGGTTTCTTTACTCCATGGATAGAAGGAAGCAAAGGGACCCAAGATCCCAATATCCCTTTCATGGTCACAACCCCAGTGATCTAAGTTCTTTTCAAGAGGATCCAGCTGTCAATGTTATCACCACTTGCCAGCAGCACCACAGGTGGAGATCAATACTTTGAACACATGAGTCTCTGGAGGGAGTCTAGATCCACACCAAAGAATCTGGATCTTCAATCCCTTGTCGGTGAGGGAGACCCTGGCATTTTAAGAGTCTGACGTCAAATGTCCCATGGAGAGTTCTCAGAGTAATCATAGGGAGGAATTGCCTTTGTCAGAGATGGAAATGAATCCAACCATAGGCTTGAAAGCTGTACCTTTCCTTCAGCTGTCTCTATCTTTTATTATCTTCTCTATATATCAGGGGAGGGGGCTAAGGCAGGGAATTTTCAGTTTCTAGGCTGGGCAAAAGAGTTGTTTCTCTGTAGGGGTCTGTGGTGCTCTCTTCATTCTAAATCCATCCTTTCCACACCTTCTTTGTGCCAGAGTAGTAAACTCTGGGCACCGTATTGGTTTGATAGCCTAGAGCTCCGTGCCACCCACCAGTACCTCGTGGACTCAGTAGAAACTCAGCCCAGTCAGGGAGAGCATGCTGGCGTGTTGACTGTTTGAAAATTAGAATGGAAAACCAGCCTCCTGTGTGAAATTTACTTTTAGTATGTTTTGAGGCATAAATTTAGAGGATTATAAGATAAAGAAAAAAATATAGAGCTTATATCCAATATTGCATACTAAAATATTCTAAAATGGTCCAATGGGTGACTTATTTTTACAATCTAGACATATCCTTGGAGGTCTTATTTTTATTCATTTGTATTACTTTGATTTTGGAATCCCAGCAAATGTGAAATGGTTCATTAGTTGAACTCTACTATAATTACTAAAGCTAATGAGAACAATATTTTGAATGCCAAAGCCAATTTATCAGCTTTCTTGTAACAGAACAATTTATGTCTTTTTTTTTTTTTTTTTCAGAGGAAATCTTCGGTGCCTACTCAGCGCTGTGGTGGTCTCCAAACAGTACTTTTTTAGCATATGCCCAGTTTAACGACACCGGAGTCCCACACATTGAATACTCTTTCTACTCCGATGAGTCATTGCAGTACCCGAGGACAGTGTGGATTCCATATCCAAAGGTCTGTGCCCCCTTTCGGGTAGTGGTTCTGTGATTTGATGGGAAGAGAATGGTTGCATTTAATCCCTTCCTGCTAATGAAAATATTGTCAGTCTCTCTTCAACAGCTTGCTGTGATTTCTCTTGCTGAAGTCAACAGCATCTGGCAATTTTAAAGTATTTTTATTATCCCAGGAAAGAGTGTGATTTAAGGTTTTGTAATTTCTCCAAAAACTTTAAGAAATGACAAGCAGAAAAAGATGGTGAAAATGCTTTTGAAGGAGGTAGGGGAGGGGTAGGAAATGCCTGAATGAAGGAAAAGAGAGGCTGTAATTGAATCAGAAGCTCGTCTCATTTGTAGGAGTTGGAATGAGCCCGAATTGAAGTTGAAAAGCCTGGTTACATATCAGATTGCATTACCAAGTAACAGGGCACAGTGCAGGATGAGTTTCGGTGGCTCTGTTACAGGTTTGGCACTAATGTGAGTTTTGCACGTCCTGCATTTGTGATAGTCATGTAACATCCTGGGTTACAAGATTGTTCCCTGCTATCCACAATGTGTGTATTAAAATCAAGCAGTGTAAGCCAGGAGAGGGCTTTCGAAGGGAGCCAGGAATTCTTCAGCACCATTATAAAAACGGCCACAGCGTCGTCTACAGGAAAAGCTAACAACGTATTTTTGCCGTAAATGATTTGGGGGGGAAAAAAGGAATTTTTATTTTTACCAACTCACTTAATTTGCCTTATGAAGATCTGCCATTTTAGGAAGGGAGAGGAAGTTAAAAGGAAAAAAAGATCCTAAACTAAATATGGAGATGTGTTTTCAGAGAATGTTATTTTTTGATGAGAGAAACTGGGGGAAAAAAAGCTCCATAAAACATTCTCTAAAAAATCATATTATTTCTAACTAATCTGTCAATAGAAGATCCATGTGTACATTTTAAAAAGGGTTTACAGGCTTCTGTCTCAGTATTGAGTGTTGAGCTCCAACACATTAACTTGGACTTAGAGTGAAGTTAATTAGCACAATTGGCTCTGAGCTCAGGCTAATTTTCCTGAAGGACTGAGCCTTTGATGGTATACAAGTGATATTCACAGTGAAGCCACCAAAACTTTTGTCCTATAGAATCAGGATATACGGACAAATGATACAATTGATTTTTAAGGCATTTGTCCTCCTTGACACAAAGCACACAGATTATGAATAAACATACACGCATGATTTGATTACAAGTGTTTAGATCTTCATGTTTCATAAACATACACATGCACACATGAATATATATATTTTCACTAGAACACATAAAGGGTTTTCTTTTTGTTCATTTTATTTCTATTAAATTGTCTGACAGTGTCCAGTTGTTATAACTCTATAGTCATAATTTAGACATTTAATACAGTTTAAATATATGTAATGAGGAGGCTTTAAAACACCATTATCAATTCCGTGGGTTTTTTTTTTCTTTTGTCCTAGGCAGGAGCCGTGAATCCAACTGTGAAGTTCTTTATTGTAAATACAGACTCCCTCAGCTCAACCACTAGTGCAGTTCCCATCGAAGTCACCGCTCCCGAATCCGTGGCAACAGTGTAAGACACTTTACCTGAATCCTTGGGTGTAGAGAGTTTCTCACTTGCTGGGGAGAGCATTTCAGACACCTATGGCAACATCAATCATAGCATCATCTTGTATCCTTGATTCATTCTTTATCCAGCACCTTCCTGTTGAAACTCTTCATGTCTTCAGGCTAGGCACAATTCTAATGATGGACATGCACAGTGAATAGGGCCGGTGTCACTGAGGAGGAGATAATACCAGGTGAACAAATAGATATCAGTCTAAAATGCCAGATGGTGATAAATGTTGTGGAGAAAGCCAAGGTGGGCTAAGATGATGGGGCCTAGTCGGGGCTTCCAGGGAGAAGATGCAAGGCTAGGGTTGTTTCTCCACGGGATACCCTGTGGGACTACACTGACAAAGGAAATCCAAAGTCCGGTATAAGGTAGGTGCTGGAATATTGGAGGCACTACAGGGAGGAATGGAAACCAGTGAGGGGAGAGCAGAGGGTAGTGCAGTATGAGGACCACATGGGGTTTCCGGGAATGGAAATGTGGTTTCTACAGACAGGCTGGTGGTGCCCACTGTGACCTGTCAGTATGTAACCAGCAAATGTTGATGGAGAAGCACATGGTGCCTCTCAACGGTAGTTTAAAACCTTTTTTTAAAAAACGACTGAACACCCTCATTCTGATGAGATGTAATTCTGCCCTGAAGTGTAAGACCCAGAGAAATTCAGAGAAACTGTGGGTCACATTTGAGAATCCTTACAGTTGATTGTCCCTCAAGATGTCACTTGCTTCAATAATGGCTGAAATCCTGCCGGCAAACACTGTACGGCCCGAGTAATTTTTCCTATAAAAACTAGAGCATGTGTAATTTACCATGTAGCTCTTTATTTTTTATGCTGGTTTGGTTTAAGTAGCAGCTATCACGTGCTGAGTGCTCTGCCAGACACAGGTGTTAACACATGCTCTATCTACTCTTTAAGTTGTCTTAAGCAACTCTATTCCCAACAGCAATTATGACAGGTCTTTTGTACAGATAAGAGAATGAGGTCCAGAGGTTGAAAAGAAAGACCTTAACCTCGGGAGGGCCTGTTCAGTCTGTCTCTCTGGATAGAAAGGGGGACTATGAGGAACTTTCTCTGTGAATACAGCTGATGTCCTCAAGATCCCAGAAAAGTCATCAGAGCAACCAGGAAGCACCTTGTTCTTTTGAGTTGACACTATCAAGCTGGGTGCAGGTTGGACTCTGTGCTTAGATATCCACTAGTTTGTTTAGAAATACCTGTGTTAATATATTTATTCAGGCAAGGAATCTTATCAGTAAAAAAATTAAATCCAGTAATCTTCCATGAGTTTTTTCCAAGCTATAAAACTATACCCAAAAGTTCTAAACTCTTATTTGGTTCAACCTATCAACCTCTTACGTGAACACTGATGAAAAACCATGATTTACAATCCAAGGTATGCCAAAGGGGGACCTAGACCCTTCTAGCATTTCCAAGCGGGGAGGATATTCCAAACTTCCCTATCCGTGACTAGGAGTGTGAAGTGACGGAGGCGTGAGCGACAGATTGGAGGCATCCCCAGTTGGGGAGGTGGGTTTTCCATGCCCAGAGGGTCGAAGGAAGCTCCCTGCGGAATGCGCACTAAAGGGTGGGCTGCAGCAGCACGGAAGAAGAAGGCCCTGAGATGGGGCCCACCGGGCATGGGAGAGCAGGAGTCTATCCAGAAACAGCCGAGCCACGCCGGCTCCCACGTGTAACTAACACCTGTCTGTAGAGAGCTGCAGCTCAGAAAACAGTCTCATCTAGAGCCAGCTGTGGACCTCCAAAGTGGTGGACGGATTTTTTTTTTTTTTTAAAGGACTTGAAAGCCTTTATTTAGATGAGACGTAAGACTGTGGTACACTTCTAGGGAACAGATGGAAGATCGCTGCTTGTGCTTCACAAGCTTCAGTCTTGCCCCCACTCCTTCGTCTGGGTTCCCGAAAAAGTAGAGAAGATCTGGGGAGGTCCCCAGAACTGTTAGAACTCCACGGAGCGCGAGCTAGGGTTCACAGAGAGAAAACAACGTGCTGACATCATACAGCAAGTTAACATAGGAGGACGGGAATCAGGAGAACAGAGACCTTTGCTTGTTGAATGACAATGGGGACATGACCACTCTGAGGTCGGGTTGAGGAGAAGAATTTTATTGTAGATATGAGGGAGAGGACACAGCCGGAGGCATCTGGGGGGGTCCAGAGGAGGGAGAGGAAGAAGTAGGCTGAACACGGCCAACAGACTGAGGGGCAAGAGAGGAAAAGAAAAGAGAAGAGAGGAGAGGGCAAGAGGACCGGCCTGGAGAGGAGCTGTGGACCAAGAGGCCAAGAGCAGAGGACGAAGAAAGCACATGGCCCAAATGGTGGGTTCATATAGGAAGAGAAGCTGGGGAAGGGGAAGGGAAGGCCACCCCTTGGGTAGGTAGTGGTGGGGTGAGAAGTGCTGGGAGGAGCCACAGGTACTAAGTGAGACTTGTTCCAGGTTTCTTTGGGACCTGACACTTCCTATAACAAACTGATTGTATAATTAGATTCCAATATGTTGAGCACTTTCTGAGGGCTGGTCTAGTGATCTGCCCTTGGATTCTCACTTATTCCCCTCAACACCCTATGGTATTGCATCCACAGTCACTTTACAGACGATGAAAACACTTTCCAAAGCTCAATGGGAAAGTGCGGAGCTCAGAAGCCTTAGTTAGCACATCTAAGGACTTAGCATTTGCTCTTCCTGAATTAATCACCTTACATCTCTGCTCTCTCATACTTCCTTAAACTAAAGGCTCGGTGAAAGCTGCCTCCTTGGAGGGGCTATTCTGTGTAGAACATTCATACCACGGAAGAGCTGTTTTAGGAAATGCCACAGGGAAGTGTTGCCTGGAGAGTCTAAAATACAGCTGTGATCTCTGTTAGTACTGATGAGATCAAAACTTTTCTAAAATGAGACTCTAGGTTCACCTGGGGAAAATATTCTCCAGGTGATGAGATAACACTTTCTGGTCTCAGTAAAAGACTCCTCAGGACTGAGGTGATCCTGACAAGTTATACTTAATGGGCACTTCATTCCTTTGGGTGATGCTTTTCCCTGTGACACACTAGATCCTTGAGTACACTAGCAGGCAAGATCAGCATCACTCTTTCCTCCTCTGCCCAGGTCTCCTCACTCATTTTCTGTTAGCACACACCTCTGCTGAAGAGCTTCCAGCAAGTGGAGTCCTATTAGTTGATGAGGCTGGTCTGTGCTCTTGTTAGGAATTAGAACACGAGACAAGATGAGCCTCTCTACCACCTCATAGATGGAGGCTTGAAGCTGATGAGGTTATTTGTGCTCCTGGTGTGCACTGACTATTCATAATGGGAATTTGAGAGCTCAAAATATTTGAGAGAAAATAGAATACAATACAGATATTGTGAAACTCCTAACTTTTCTTTACACTTGTGTTCCCAGGGCCAAATGAAGCAAGACAAGGTGTGTGGGATAAGGGCCAGTTTTACAATAGTAACTGGTGCTTAACAGGGTTATTGGGACACAGTGTCAGTTACTGTTTGTAGAATAACTGAACAGATGAGAAGCTGGATGGTTGCATTGGGTGGGTTGGTAGATGAATGGATGGATGGATAAGAAATGGGCTTCCCAGGTGATGGTGTTTGTGTGTGGCACAGGCACAGGAATGAATTCACACAGCCAGCTCCAAGGACAGCGTTCAAAATCATCCCATGTACCAAGTTCCTCTTTTCTCCCTCTGGCTAGCCATGTAAAAATTCTTTAGGATAAAACTACAGGACTGGAGAGGCTGTGTCATGCGAGGTGACCCCTCTGGACATCTGCTGAATGGCCTCAGGAGCCCGCCCATCACACCCAGCTTATGACATACCCTGCCCTTGTTCTCCCTGCTCCTAAGTAACACAGTAGATAAAGACTCCCTCTATCTCTCTGAACACTGGATGACCCTTGGTCTGCACACTAGGCTCATCAAAGCCCGAGGCTGCCAGGCAGGAGGTAAACTGGACTGACAACGTCCCATCTCCCCAACCAGCAAACTAGTGACACCTGTAAGAAAGCAGACTCATTAGGACTTGCGTACAACGCTGTTTCTCTCGACTCTGCTGCATCTCACCCCACCCATCCCTCTTCTTAGCAATCTGTCAGTGGACCCAGCAGGGTTGGCATCCCCATCAGAGCAAAGGGTGGCATGGAGCCCACGGCCGGCACTGGCAGTACGCCTGCTTCCTTTGGTGATTCACTGAATTAATCACTCCGCAGTCTGCAGTTGCTCTGGGTAGCATTTCCCCTCCATTATTCCTTCCAGCTAGCAAAGCACAGCTTATTTTAAGTATCATTAATGTACAAATGAAACAGCTACACGAATTAGAAGCAGAGATGTCACGTAAAAGCCTTTCATGAAATGCCTCGTCTTTGAAAGGACAAGAAATCACTTCAAAGAGTGGCCACAGCAGGATATTCAAAAGGAAGTACTGGGAGTGTAACCAGCTGACTTCCTTCATGAAAATTTAGCTTATCCATAACTCTCAAGGAATAAATAGATTTCATTGAGAAAGGAATTGTACACTCGAGGAACCGTAAGAGTGAAACAGACTAGTAGGACTTCCCAGGGGGACAGGGAGAATATTTACAGGAGGGGCAAGGATGAACGGAAAAATCTGAAGCCATCTGCTTGATCTGAACCCTGGCTCTAAACCTCTGTGATTGGGTGATCCTGAGAAAGTTACTTGACCTCTCCCCACTTACGTTTCCTCATCTGCTCGGCAGGAGCCACAATGGTACCTGCTTCACAGAGTGGTCATGAGTGTTATGGGAAGCGCTCGGGCAGTTCCTGGCACAGAGCCAAGTTCACGTGGGTTAAAAAACTCTTACTGTTATGCGCAATCCTACTGCTCTGCTTCAGCATCAAAATCAAACAGATTCCCTTTATGACCGACTAATGCATCTCCAAAATCTCAGAACTGTTGTTGGACAAGAGGCTTAGGCTCACATGAAGGCTTGGCTGTGGGTGTGGGATCCTCACCTTTGCAGGATATTGGCTTAGGGCTGTAATTAGAAGGAAGTATGTTAATAAAATGTGTTTCAAAACAGACTGTCTACTACCTTGGTAAAAGGCCTCCACCGAGCCCTCTCAGAGTGCAGAGTACATTGTGGGCCACTGACAGTGACTAAGCTATCAGATCCAAGTCCATTAACCTTTATCTAGAAATGGACAAGGAAGATGGCCAATGCACATGAGTTTCCTGGCTTCCATCCCACATTCCATTACTCAGTGTTTTCAAATGGCAAAAAGTCGTTTTGCAGTGTAGATTTTCAAGCCTGAGGTATAACGTATGGCTTTCACAGATAAAGCTACCTACCGTGGGCGACGAGGGATCATGAAAGAGTTCTGCCCTCCTCTGCCTCTGCCACCAGAACACTTTTACAAAGAGGAAGAATATTCTGGGTGCCAGCGTGTGCCTAACAGTCAAGAGGCTTTTTCTCCCTAACCAATGGGCTCACACATCTCTTCAGATCAGCCTTTGGGTTTTGTTTCTGGTTTCTTCTGATTTTGGTTTTCTGAGACACAGTCTTACCTTGTGGTCTCGGCTACCTTGAACCAGGGAGGGCTCACAGGAGAGGATCTCTGATTCAAATCCATCGTGCCTGGCATTCCTCTTCATATCCTCCACAGCTATGAATGGCTTTACACTTTGGTCGAAAGAATTCATGACATTGAAAATGAAGCTTTATACTGAAACATAGCCACTCTTGTTAGGGCCAGCATTGTCTCTGGCTGTCCTTATTCTGTGCCGGTGTGACAGACAACACATAGACCACAAAGACTAAAAATATTTGCTGTCTGGCCCCGACTAAATATTCCTTCATCTTTCATCTAACACATTAATTTTGAAAAACTTCATTTTCTGTGTCTTATTTTTGCTTCCTTCCTATTATTTGAAAGGACATATCACTCGTCCTGGCTAGAGTGAACTCTCCCTCTGTTCATTTGACAACTCTGCTTGGGGTGAGTGCAGAAGAGCTGGGTTAGATCAGGAGCCCTGGCTCCTTCTCAGGAGGTGAAGATGCGCTCTCAGACCTGCATTCTGACAGGCTCCTAGAGGCTCATGGGACTGATTTAGCAGCAGCAGCTTTCCAAGAAAACCCCACTGACATGGAGGGTGGGAAGAAGACTGAAGTGGGAAGGTACCATTATGTGAGCTAAGGTGATGCCTGGTTGCCGCGCAGGTCCTTAGCACCTGAAACCTGCAGTGAAATAGCATGAGACCCAGAGCGTCTCCAGGGCATCCATGCCACAAAAGGGGAAATGAGAAGCTTTGAGGATCTTGGGTGCTTGATTAACATCTGCTGTAGGCTTCAGAGCCTAAGAAAGGAAAGGGGACAAAAAACAGAGGTACCTTCTGAGGGAAGGTAGCTTTGGGTCCTAAGAAATGAGAACATAAATTTTGCCCTTCTTGAGAGCTGCATTCCAGGAGAACTTCACAAGCTGTTTTATGAACAAGACTCATGGGTCCCCTGCTTCTAGGAGCTGGCAGCCAGGCCAGAAGCCCAGGAGAATGGAAGGGGATGATGGCTACCACCAAGGGAGGCCAAACAAGGGCAGAACTTGGAGTGAGGCAGTGAAGGAAAACAGGGCTATGGAACCAGGAAAAAAAAAAGATGATGAAAGAATCATCGTGAGCTCCTGACAGAAGGGAGCAAGGCTTTGATCAGACATTGGAGAGAAGGGATGTATGAATGAGTAGTCACTGAAATCATACCCACGAGGGGCAAAAATGCCCAAGAAAAGAAACCATCCGGAGGAAAAAATGTCAGGGAGGCTAGGAGAAGAGTAAGTTACAAATTACGCACATGTCACTATAAATCACCACACAGCTCCAAAAGAACTTGAAGCATGCGCTGGGGAGGACGGCATGCTAGAACTGGGTCTGTAACTTTGGGTTGAAATACTACAGAGTACTTTCCTTCACAAGGGCGTGTTTTGACTCTTGAGAAGTGTGTTTGGGGTTATAGTTCTTTGATTTGAAAAGTTTGTAGAGGCATGAGTCTACTTTTTTTTTTTTTCCAATCTGAAAGTGGAGTTGATGAAAGGGTGATCTATGGTTTTATCCTAGTAGCAAAGGACACGTAGACTACAAAGACTGAATATATTTGCTATCTGGCCCCAACTAAATGTTTCTTCGTCTTTCGTCTAACACATTAATTTTGAAAAACTTCATTTTCTGTGTCTTATTTTTGCTTCCTTCCTGTTATTTGAAAGGACATATCACTCGTCCTGGCTAGAGTGAACTCTCCCTCTGTTCATTTGACAACTCTGCATGGGGTGAGTGCAGAAGAGCTGGGTTAGATTAGGAGCCCTGGCTCCTTCTCAGGAGGTGAAGATGTGCTCTCAGACCTGCATTCTGACAGGCTCCTAGAGGCTCATGGGACTGATTTAGCAACAGTTTTCCAGACAAACACGATTGATGGGGGGAGGGGGCATATTAAATTGCCAGAAAATTCGAGCATGTCTGCCAGTGTCCGTGACCTCACTGTATTACTCTCAGGCAGCAGAGAGAAGATGAAAAAGTCTCACCTTTGACTCCCTGCTACCAGGGTCCAAGTTCAAAATTTAATAGTCCTAAACACGGTTTCGGTCTCCTGTCTGAGCCATTTAGACTGTGTCTGCGGCTTTCCTTGGTGGATGTACTTTATTGAGTAAAATGTTCATTTGCAACAAGGTCTGGAAAAACTCACATTGCTTTTTTCCTGAGACAGGTTTTCTCTATTTAGCCTTGGCTGTCCTGGAACTCGCTCTGTAGATCATACTGGCCTCAAGCTCACAGAGACCCACCTGCCCCTGCCTCCTGAGTGCTGGGATTAAGGGCATGCACCACCACCACCACCCACCTCATATTTCGTTTATATGTGTGTGGTGTACATGCTTGTATTTGCATGTATGTGGGCACATGCCTGTAGAAACCTGAAGTTGACATGGGTCATCTTTCTGGATTGTTCTCTACTCTTATTTATTGTGCTTGCCAATTCCAGCTAGTTTAGCTAGAAACTTGACCTAGGGATCCCTTTTCCCTGCCTCCCTAGTGCTGGGATTACATGTGGCTGCCATAGCCACCTGGACTTTACTTGGGTTGTGGGGGTCAGAAGTTCAATCCTTAGGCGTGTTAGACAGGCACTTTATCCACTGGGCCATCTCCTCAGCTGCACAATTTCTGAAAAATCCCCATCCCCTTTTTTCTCTCCAGGGATCACTATTTGTGTGATGTGGTGTGGGTTACAGAAGAAAGAATCTCTTTGCAGTGGCTCAGGAGGATTCAGAACTATTCTGTGATGGCTGTCTGTGACTATAATAAGACCAACCAAGCATGGAACTGCCCCTTGGTAAGGTCTCATTGAGATGCATTGTGACATGTGACGTGCAGGCTCCATGTCCTAGGAGACAGCAAAGTTTGGGGATCAGGAAATGTTTTAGTCTCTCTTCTCTCTGAAAACACATCCAGCCCTGAGGCAGCAGTCAGCCTTGCCTATCAGACACTGGATATCTGGTGGCACTTCTATTTCTCTTTTGCACACTAGTCAAGGTGTGTTAGATGTGGAAGGGAACAAGAGTGACTAGAAACCCAGAAGACAGAATTCAATGTCCATGTTCAAAATCGGGAAGAGGACCGGAGCCTGCAAGCAAAATGGCAGTTATCTTAACAGATAAAACACGGAGGATGGGAAATGGCTAACTGAGCATGTGGGAAACAAAATGAATGTCAGGAGGACACAGATCCATTACTAGACTTTAACCATATCTACGCAGAAACCGATTTAGAACTTAAACAAATAACCATCAGCCTGAGAGGGTGATAATGCTGAGGGGAACCGAGTATTGATCCAACTAATGTGCTGACCTTCCCAGCCAGGACACCTTGAAGTCCTTCTAGGCTGTGGATTTCAGCAAACCCCCCTTGAGAGCCAGCAGCCTCAGGAGAGACAGGCACTAAAGTCTTGCAGGCATATGCCATGACCATTCTGTTCCTTCTTTTCCATTCTGGTCATGAACTCTGTGTTACATACTCCTCCATGCTCTCATCCTAGATGGGCACTGGGCAGGTTCTCACCTGAGAACTTAAGTGATACTCCATGGCTTGACCTAGTCATTTATTTATACAAGAAGCATTACTTAAAATGTCCCCACTTTGATGCTAAGCTATGGGATCTTTTTTTTTTAAATTAACAAGACAGCTGGCATTTCCCAAAAAATGTTTTTGTTCTGATAGAGAGTGCGGTTGTGAAGATAGGCCATAAGACTTTCCATGCATTTACAATATGGCAGGTACAGTAGAAACTGAGACTCAGTGAGGTCAAAGGTTAAAAAGTGCACAAGTCATAGTACACACTTAAACTCAAACTGCAAGACCCAAGCTCTTTGCTTTCTGCTGATTGACTCATCTCAGTATCAGGGTATTGTGCCATAAGAGGGTTTAAAATAGATACAGAGGGTAATAGCAGATACTCTGTTGGTGTCAGGCAGAACAAGACAAGGAAATGGCTTAGGGGAAGATGCAGAGTCATCTAGGACAAGATGTCCTATGTGAACAGATAAGGGAGAAAGGTCCATCTCAGCTGAGGATTGTGCAAGGACATCCGTGGTGAACAGCTTAGAGCTTAGAGGGACTGAATGTGCTTACCACCTAAGCTGAAGGTGAGGAACAGGATGGAAATGAGGCTACAGATTTATATTTGGGTTCAGGGGCCATGCTGAGGTGTTTGGATTTATCTTGTAAGGAGTGGAAAGCTGTTTTGCATTTCTAAAATGAAGAGTATAATGGGAATAGAGCTGTCTGTTGCCAAATAAGATGAGGTAGGGCCTGAGCGGGGAGGACAATGGACCAGAAGGAATAAAAGATGACTGAACATCCAATTAGGAGACTGTGGCTGTAGATCATTGGAAACATCCTAAGGACAGGAATGAAGGATGTAATTGTAAGGAAAGACAGACAAGCTGAAGGGGCTAGGGGAGGTTTCCATGAGAAGAGAGCACAAAGTAGGAATCTAGACTGAGTAGCTAGAAAGAAAAGGTCTATGAATAGGCTGGAGGGCTAGAGGAAAGCAAAGGACATCATCCAGTTCTGCACATGTCAGATTTCAAACTCGAGTTGGAGTTTTGGGACAGCTCCAGGTCAGGGCTCCAGGCCACAGAGGTAAGTGATCAAATGCAATTACATGAAAAAATACTAACATAAGTAGAATTGTAGGGCGAGAGATTGTCCTCAATTATTTTATCATCAGTGTAATTTCATTTGTAGTATATGTTTTGCGGGGCTAGGGATGTAGCTCAATTGGCAAAATCCTGGATTAGCATGCCCAGAGGCCTTGGTTCAGTTCCCAGCACTAAATACAACTGACCACGGTGGTGGATCCATGCAATCCTGGCACTTGGAAAGAACAGGATCAGAAGTTCAAGGCTTTGACAATATTGTCAGTTTGAGGACATGAGACCCCATTTTAATTTAGATGATAGATAGATAGATAGGTAGATAGATAGATAGATAGATAGATAGATAGATAGATAGATAGATAGATAGATAGATAGATAGATAGACAGATAGATAAAGTAAGTAAGTAAATGGATTTCACCATCTTCTCTTTGAAACCCTGCACTGTCCTTTTTCTCCCCAGGCACAGCATCATGTTGAAATGAGCACTACGGGCTGGGTCGGAAGAGTAAGTGTTCTGAGTTAGAGATTTTGCAACATTTCTTCACTACTGCTCAGAGCTGGTTAATGTGTGACTGTCCTATACTAAGGCACTATGTTGTCACTGATAGAAATGTGAGTTGGCCCATTTCTCAGAGTGTTAGTTGTGCTTCCTATAGTGAATGTAGCGCATCCCCAAGAAGGTAAAGGGACAAGTGAAACATCAAAGTCAAGAGCAGAAATAACAAAACAAAGCACTTTCTCCAGCTACCTGGCACCTCCAGGGAGCCCAGAGACAGTCACCACTGAAAGGCCACCAGGCTGCTGGGTGTTCTCTTTGACCTGTTGCTCGAGTTCTGCACTTTGGAGGTAGAAAACAGTTTTTAACCGAGTCTGGACTACAGTCACACGGAACAGTACCAACCATATACTGGGTACTGCACACTTCTCTGGGGGGAAATCACCTCCGTGGGTGCACACATCGGGAGACACCCTAAGGAAGAGCTTAATCTGGGAGAACAGGGTGACCCTCAGAGACTCACAGCTCTGCCCAGTTCCACCACATCACATGCACATGCACAGCACCAACCACCAAAGTCTGAGACCGTGGAAGAAAGCATGGGTGGGAGGTCCAGGGGTGCGCGGAAGGGACTCCGGCCACCATGACTCCTCGCATGAAAGATGAAAACTGAATGACATCTACTTTCTATGACTACTTCTATTAATCCTCCTTTAAAAGGGAAACAAAGTGACAGAAAAAATTGTAAACATTTCACATCTTCTGGGCGAGAGAGGTGAGGCTTCAGTCCAGGAAGACGACCCCTTTCTGCTGGGCTGGAAGCTGCCACAACATTCACATGTCCTTTTTCTCCAGGCGCTGATTGGGCAGAGGGGAGAGGTTTGCCAACATGAAAAGTGGTTTCCTCCATGGCAAGAGACATGCTACACTTCCTCACGACTCTTTGAAAAAAATATGTTTTTTCCTCTCTGTATTTAACCAGACAGATGCCACTTTTCACACATTTCTACTAGGCACAACTCCATCCAGGGGAAACAGGGAAATGTATTAAAAAGATAAGGCTGTGAACATAGGTCTAGAGAGGGGAATGTGTTTGGGAGCTCCGTAATGAGAACACCAAGTGTACTGCACGCTTCAGCTTGCTCCCTAAATGAATTCACTTTGAATCACTAAATAGAAGAGGCAAGCATTTTCCTTCCTTCCCCAAATGGGAGCTGATGAGAGAGGAAACATCGAGGGTGAAGAGAACCAAGAATTTTAAAAGACCATCCCCTACCTGCTCAAAGCGTCACTACAAAATAGAAATTAAAACGCAACGTGGTCCTTCCAGGCTGAAAGAGACACTCTTCTATTTAAACATTATTTTCGGAGAGATATCTTTTATTGAACTTTTTTTTAAAAAAAATGAAAATTTTGTTCTACATTTTTCATGTATTTTGTAAATTATTGATCATCTTTAGCAAAAATGAAAAGGCTTAGGATAAAAATAACTATATGAATGCTTCCATGGGAAATCTACAACAGATATTCCTGATGGCATCTAGTCCAGAAGTGGCTAAAGACTATGCCTGACTTAAACAAAAAAATACAAAACAAACAAACAAAACAAAAAACTGTGTAAAAGCAGGGATGAAAATTTCCCCATACTGCAAACCACTTTTAAGCTAAAACAGTTAGATAATAAGACGCTTTCTAGAAAGCGCACTTATGACATCAGGGAAGTTCCTTCTTCAAACAGAAGTGAATGCTAGGTTGCATGCCCATATGTCTGTGAGTCTTCATTATCCTTTTCACAGGATATGTCCCAGAACAACAGAAACATTTCTAAGTGTCCAGTATCTGCTGTGGGCATCTTTATGTGCATTTTCACATCTACCTTCGCCAAATAAATTAGCCTAGGAGTTTGTTCTCTGCTCCACGTTTTCTAGTTAGGGAGACTTTCATTTTTAGACCCTCTAGTAAAACACAGATATTGGAGAGGACTTCTGAAAGCTGGGGTCCGTCCTGGGGTGAGACTGGCCGTGTGATATTTCTTTGCTCTGTCTTTGTCTAGTTTAGGCCTGCAGAGCCCCATTTCACTTCTGACGGTGGCAGTTTCTATAAGATCATCAGCGACAAAGATGGCTACAGACATATCTGCTACTTCCCTAAAGATAAGAATGTGAGTATGCTTTTGTAGCAGATCTTAAACTGATCTCTTTTTCCAAACTAAAACAGAAATCATTTGATGGCATCGAGCATTGTATACAAATAGACTAATTCAAATATTCAGTGGCATGTGGGATGAAGTGGAATCGGAGGACACTGATGCCCCCAAAGCAACCTCACAGTTATATGAATTCCTGATACGAATAATTCTGCTTAACTTTGATAGGGGAGTCTAATTAATCTCATATTTAAAAGCCCAATCAGGACTGTACATTTATTACAAAAGGAGCCTGGGAAGTCATTGGGATCGAAGCTCTGACCAGCGATTATCTGTAAGTAGATTCTAATAATCAGTAAGTAGGCTTTAAACCTATACGTTATAATCATACCCTCTCTCACAGAACTGCAGGAAAATCTCCCACAAAGAGTAGTCAATTTGGAATGTGTTCAATCTTTTTTTTCTTTTTAACATACGGAAGCCTTAATGATTTTCACATATGCTCAGCAGATTTGATACCATGCCACCAAGCGGTTCTACCTCTTGGTCTTACCTGCTTTGCACTTGGAGAGGCTGCAGGCTCTCTGGAGCGTCCTGGACTGCTGCAGGGGCATCCTGGCATTCTGTTAACTTTAGACTTACAAGGACTCTTTGAGAGGCTGAGAAAGGCAATTTTATCTGTGTTCGGCCTTGCTCTTTGGAACATGGAAAGCTTTGCTGAAAGCGCCTACTAACAGCATACATGAGCTATCAGCAAAAGGCACGCTACTTTCCATTGGGATCTTGGGCTCTTCCTTTATTGGCCTCATCTCAGAGGAATTTACCATTGCCCAGAGTAGCTTCTGAAGACTTTATAGAAGGAGTTCTGCTACTCTCTGAAATATGCATCCCCTATATCCATGAAGCTTGTGTTACAAAACAGAAAAGACAGAAAACAAGATTTGTACTTGTAGTGGGTTTTTTTTTTCAATTTCAAGCTGGCCGTCCAGGCATATTTTTCATATAAAAGCCCTCTTTCGAGTTTTTACTTACCACTTGAACCCAGAAAGAACTCCTTGGATTCATACATTAGACTGTCTAAAGAAAGTGTCCTGGGTAGAGATGATGGAAGGAGGTAGCTCCTGGAGTGGGTGGAGGAGCAGAGCAGAAAGTGTAGACAAAGGGCACACACTCATGCATTAGAGCTGTATGTGCCTGAGGTCGGAGATTTAACATTTCTGTAAAACATGTTTAATATATCGCCTTTGTTTTCTTCTCAGATACTACATTAGTAACGAACATAAAGACATGCCAGGAGGAAGAAATCTGTATCAGTAAGAGTGCTGTCGGGATGTTGACATCAGGGTTTCTACCTGCAGATTATTGCTGAGCGTCTCTCTCTCTCTCTCTCTCTCTCTCTCTCTCTCTCTCTCTCTCTCTCTCTCTCTCTCTCTCTCTCTCCTTGTCCTAACTAATATTACACTGGAATTGTTATAAGTACTTCTACTTCTTCTCTTTATCAGTCATATATAACCAAAACAGTGAATTTTTTAGGTGTTTACTGGCATTTCCTAAAAATGGGAGATTGAGGTTATTGTGGATTAATGCATGTGTTTTATGACAAAGAGATAGAATCTGGAGGGTTGCTTTGGCAGTCTGATTCCACTGAAACCAGAGCATGGCATTATTTAGTTTCTTCCTTTTGCATAGCCTTTGATGAAGCAATTAATCAGCACCGCTGGTTTTACAGAATTCAACTTACTGACTACACCAATGTGAAGTGCCTTAGTTGTGACCTGGATGCAGAAAGATGTCAGTATTATTCGGTGTCATTTAGCAAAGAGGCAAAATTCTATCTGCTGAGATGTTTGGGTAAGTTTGCAGCGTCTGTGAGGAAGAGCAGATGACTGGCCTGTGGGAGCTCCTGTCTTTACTGCCTTGGAGAAGGCAGTCCTAAGGGCTTCCTCTCAGCACCTAGCCTTTCTTCTCTGCTCAGCCCTTTTGTTAGGCACCCTCAAAGACACCTCAGTCCCTTTCTACCCAGTCATATCATGTGATGTGTGCACATTATCTTTTCTTCCCTCTAAGTTCACTCTTATACACCTACATGTTACAGGTTTTAAATGATTGTGTTATGCATTTGCCCCTTAGCTTAATAAGAAACGGTGAGTGGCGCCTGTCACCCAGAACACTCACTGCTCTGTCCTCTATTAACATTGCTACTGTTAGTATTTATTACAAGTCAAGAAGCTTGGGTCAGGGAAGGCACAATGGCAGATTCTAGTTCACACAGTAAGTTCAAAGTATTCTCACAGACTTCTCCTGAGTCCCCCCTTCTAAAGCTGTGCCAGGCTGCTTCTCAAAATGAGAAAGAATCAAAATATTCTAGAAAGAATAGTCAATGGCAAAAGGGGACTTCAAACTACTTATCCTGGTCTCTTCTCACTGCTGTATTTTGTATTATGATGCATTTCTTTAATGTTCTTTACTATGGCTACATTTTGCCGTCATTTCTTGAGTGTGTGCTAACAGTGTGCTAAAAGCTTAATATTTATGATCTTATTTAAACCTTAATAAAACTTCTCAAAGTTTTATTACATATTATCCTCATTTTATATGAAAGGATACCGACATGTAGACACATTGGCCTAACTCACCCAGCGCGTCAGGCAGGATGCAAACCCAGGTCTAGCAGTGCCTACACTGAGGTTTTTCAAGCAAATATAAAAATTAAATATGCCATTTTAATGCATCAAAATCAAGGAGCTCACAAGATAGTTTGCTATACACTATCTTCCACTCCACAGCTACCACAGTTGGGATAAATAGTGAAGATTGGGGCTTGTGAGAAAAACACTTCTGAATGCCAGGAAGAAGCTGCTTATCCAAGTTAGGCACCGCAGGTGTGCCGCCTGGTTCCCAGACTCTTCTGAGTGGGTCCCCTGATGGGGTGAGAGGGGACTCGCCTCCTCTAGGTGAAGCTGGCTCCAGAGCTCTGCCCACTCACCCTCCAAGGTGTACAGGGCTTGAGAGGTAGTGTGGTCAGTATGGGGGGGCAGACAGAGAGTAGAGAAGGTTAAGCTGTCATTTCAGCTGGCTGGTGAGGAAACTGGTCATGGAGATGGTAACCTGCCCAAGACGTCCAGCAGGCCTGAAGTCCATTACCTACACCCTTTACCTGAGACCCGTTCCTTTCCAGGAATTCATCCCTCACTTGATTGCAGTTAGTTTTAAGAAAAAAAAAGTGGGGGGGGGGGAGGGTGAGGAGGAAACAGTTAAGCTTTCTATCTCCTACCATAACTCTTTTGTGTTCTGTCCAACAGTAATAGCTGATCTGTTTGAGAGCTCGTACATGCATGCTCTACTCATCTAAAACATATTTTTCACTGATTATATTCACAGGCCCCGGTCTGCCCCGCTATTCTCTGCATCGCAGCGCTGATCACAAAGGTAGTTGGTTACAATTCGCCCTCCACTGGCTTGCAGGAAAGCTCAGGTCAATGGGACCGACATGAGAAGTTTTCCCTTGGCTTTAGTGTTTTAACAATGAGTTGGACCCAAGCCTTCCTCCCTGAAGCATGCACATCCCAGCTGCTGCACAGCACACTTGCTCACTGTGGCATCATGTGATCTAAGTTCTTTGCACTATTATGAGTTATTGCTGTTTCATATGTTTGTTTAGAGCTACGAGTCCTGGAAGACAATTCTGCTTTGGATAAAATGTTGCAGGATGTCCAAATGCCTTCAAAAAAATTGGACTTCATTGTTTTGAATGGAACAAGTAAGTTAAATTTCTTTTGGAATAGTATTTTTCATGGAAATAATAATAAAATATAAATAATGTGACCATTTGGTCTGAAAATATGTACTTTTTGCTGTATAAAGCTAAATAAACAGGTTATTTTTCCCATGAAACAATCTATCACAAGAACTACTACTTTTGCTTTTTCGTGTCTTAAAATAGGACTCTCCATAAAATGCATTCTGTCGAGAGAGCAGTTGGGGGAATGCACTATTGATGGGTCAGTTCATTCAGTTAGTTAAGTCTGTTTTACTGGTAAACATTAATTGTAAAGACATAATGGCTGAGTGAAATTACACCTGATATATTTTATCTTTGAACTATAGAGTTATAAAATACTCCGGATGATTACGGTAACATTTGAGGTTGTTTTTTGAAGTGTTTAAACACTTCAGGGTTTTTTTGGGGGGTGGAGGAGGGCAGGTAATTCCTTTGTCCTCTTTCTGTTTCCCAGTTAGTTCAGAACAAGGTGTGGCGTAAGCATGGATACACTCAGGGACCACTGGTCTAGATGTAAAAAAAAAGAATAATAGGTTCATTTGAGCTAGAAATGCTTGTTTCTATTCAGTTCCTTTCCCCACTAAGAAATAACAACTTATGGGAAAGGGAGAAATAAGACCTAATTGATAGAGTTTCATCTTTAAATTTACCATAGAGAGAAATATGGGGCTTAAGTGGTGGCTCAGCAGTTGGAAGCAGGTCCTGCTCCTGCAGGGCACCTACCTGAGTTCACTTCCCAGCACTCATATCCGGTGGTTTACAAACCATGTGTAACTCCAGCTACAGGAACTCCAACACCCTCTGCTGGATTCCCAGGGCACCTGTTCTCACTTGGTCACGCCCACACACAGAGACACATGGACACATAACTTAAACTAATAAAAATAAAATATTTTAAAAGGGGAAATGAAAAAAAAATATATTCAATTCCTGTCATTTGTAAATAGTAGGACAGGCCCTGGAAAGCAGAGCCACACAGAATAACTTAGCATGCAGCTCAAAGTGAGTGTGCCTGTGAGTCACCAGAGCCCTTGCTAACAGGCGCCTTCTGACCCAGCAGGGGGCCACTGCTCCCTGTCCCTGAGATGTCTTGAATGTTAAGAGCTCATTTTGACAGCCTGGTGCAGGGTTCTGCAGTCAATATGGAGATGTGTTTCTATTTCTGTAGGCACACAGCGGGGAGTCCTTAGGGCCAGCGAGGCCACATGGTTGAAAGGAAATTTTCCTAGGGATTGGAGGAGCCCACTGACAGAATGAGAGGGGGGCCCACGAGGCTGTAGTCTTTTGCACAACCGGAAAGCCTGGACTGAGACCGGGCCTGAGAGAAGAGAACAGGGAGGGGAGATCTTGAGCCCGGGAAGAACTCCTCCTCACAGCAAAATTGCACATTTAAAAAAAAAAAAAGGAGTTAAAACGTCCCCACTAACCAACTAGTGCTGGCCAGACAAGATTGAATAGTGATGGGTGTGTGGATTAAAAATATCACTCAGCTTGGCTAATAGTTTGATGTTTGATTAAAATTATAATAGAAAAATTATATTTTTTTCTGATACATTGAATAAAATGCACGAAAACAATTAGTAAAATATAAATTGAAGACAAGCCTACCTATATTGGACTACTGAATCTTTCTTTTCTCCTTAACCAAAATCATTATAAAATCAATCAATAAACAAAAAGGAAAGTCGAGGTAAGAAACACATCTAGAGATCAGAATTATTTTGAGCCTGCAGTTTAAATCTTCCTGAATATGCAGAATTCTATGTAGATTTATTACTCTTAATTATTTTGAGAGCAAAGAAAACTGACTCGTTGTTGTTTTGAGATAAATTTTTATTAAACTGATATTAAAGCAAGCACAGGAGTTTAAAAGGACCCAGGGAAGAGCACACAGAATGTGCAAAGCAGTTTACTCCACAGAAGCCGTTCCCATTCTGTGAAAGACTCAGCTGAAGACGAGACTCTGCTTTGCGGTCTGGGACGGCAATAGGAATTATCAAAACGCTATTAAACCAGAATGTTAAAAGAGAGTTACGGCTGACTACAAATTCTAAACAGCTTCAAGGAAATTCAAGAAGAGGAAAACATTTGGGAGGAAAATTTAGAACATAAACAAGCTAGATAAGTAGAGAAGATGCCAGAGAACAGAAGCATAAAAACAAAACATTAGGAATCCTAAAACGCACTTGTATTTTGCAAGGCACCGATGGATTTCATGGCTGTATTAGAAATAAATTAATCGTTTTACCACCAGAATAACTAGCATTTATGAACCAAAACCAGAGTGCTTTATGTCTTAAAAACATAATCCTAAGCTGATCTTTTCCTTTTTTTTTTCTATCTAATTTAACAAACTGTTAAACTCTAGACACGACATTACTGAGAAATAAGGAATGAAATCTCACACTAATAATTATGTTTAACACTAATTAATCCTTCTGTTTGTTTAGGATTTTGGTATCAAATGATCTTGCCTCCCCACTTTGATAAATCCAAGAAATATCCTCTACTCTTAGACGTGTAAGTATCCAAGAGGGGACCATTCAGCAGCTGTCTGCCGTGCTTCTCTGTGGGTCTAGATTAATGAAATATCCTGCCTGCATCGCCGAGCACCGTTCCCTCCTCCCACTCTGTCCTCACAAATCCATCCTGTGTTTTCTCCTGACTTGATGGACAGACATTTCTCTCTGTCATAATCATGTGGTTTGCTTTGCTTCCCAGAAGTTTACGGGAGTCCCACAGGGGTTTCCAAATCCTCACCTCCTTCCTTTCTTCCTTCCTTCTGGACATCTTAACAAGCTAGAGACGGGCACTTTCAATCTACCAAATTTTCTGTCATTGACGAGGCCAAGGAATTTCATGTTACAGAAAAATGTTTACTCATATATGAATGCATGAATATGTTCTCCTGCTTAAATTTAGAATGCTACATCATCCAGTTTAAAATTAAAATAATGTGATATTTTGTTGAAATGAAAGTTCTTTTAACTTCCATCTCTAAGAAGAGGCAAGAACGCGTTGGTAGAGGCATGCACGCAGGACTTGCCTGTTGTTTGTGAGGTTGAGACAGCCAATGAGTAGGAGACAGATGAGTTAGGAGGGAGCTATTATTAGAGAAGATCTGTGTGTACCCTGGAGTCATGTAGACTGTGCAGAGATGACATTGAAATAAGATGCCATGAGCTATAGGGATCATCTCTTAGTACACCGAGGAGTTGATAAAGGCTGTACCCATGATGACATGTGTCAGATTTGAGGCTATAAAGATTGCAAATACAAGATGTTAAAATTTGTGTAGTGCTGAATGGCATACCTATTTCAAGTTTATATTTCTTTATCCTTGAGGTTGTAAGTACTAGCATCTTCATACTCTGGTCCTTTCTACTTGATTTAGAGTCTTAGTGTGAGCAACAGCATACAAGTTCCTTAGGAAAATGCAAAGCATGGGATGCTGCAGTCGGGGTCCTTAAGAAAAATCACAACCTAAGAATAAATGTATAGACTGGGAATGTTTCTGAATTGAGATGTAAAGCTACACTAATTATCATTGTTATTTTTATAAGACAATTTCCCATATCCCCACTATTTGATGAATTACTTCTTCTATTTCTAAGATTACACAATACTTGAAATGTAGAACATGTTTGAGAGTAATGTTCAAATACAAGTCTTAATGATGTATTTAAATGAAACACACAGCCTTAATGGTCATGTTGCCAAATTTAAAGGACCCATTCTTGATAACCCAATGGTTATTATGATTTTCAGGCTCTTGGTTGAGAAAGATGCATATATCTGGTCCATAGAAGAAAAATGCAAGCATTCTTTATTTAATTTGGGAAAGCAATAAAGTCTTACAAGGTGGAACTTTTCACAGATATGCAGGTCCCTGTAGTCAAAAAGCAGATGCCGCCTTCAGACTCAACTGGGCCACTTACCTTGCAAGTACAGAAAACATCATAGTAGCTAGCTTTGATGGCAGAGGAAGTGGTTACCAAGGAGATAAGATCATGCACGCAATCAACAGAAGACTGGGAACACTAGAAGTTGAAGATCAAATTGAAGCAGCTAGGTAAGTGACTAGAGATGAACTCAAACATCATTTACTGTTCTCCTTATTTCTTTCTTTCTTTATTTGTAAAATGTGAAGAATGTGAGGATGCTTGGGGTGAATGTGTAATTCTTCTTTCCTGTAGGTTTTTAATGCAGATAATATATTTAGATAAAAACATGTGTCATTATAGATTTCTTTGAAATTTTGTTTGTTTGTTTGCTTTTTGTTGTTTTTCAAGACAGGGTTTTTCTATGTAGTTTTGGTGCCTGTCCTGGAGCTCGCTCTGTAGACCAGGCTGGCCTCGAACTCACAGAGATCTGCCTGACTCTGCCTCCCAAGTGCTGGGATTAAAGGCGTGCACCACTGCCACCTGGCTTCTTTGAAGTTTTAAGAAGGCATTTCCTAAGTTTCTTTTTGTATATGACTAGAGAAAGGGAGCTAGCATAGACACTACTGTCATCTAAGAGTGGAGACTGGTGATCCATAGAACACATGGGTAAACTGAGGGATGAGTGTACCATGTTGGTCAGACTTTCAGTTGCTGTGATAAGATGTCTGGCAGAAGGAACTTGAAGGAACAAGAAGATGGGTTCATTTGGAACTATGGTTTGAGAGATTTCAGCCCACTGTCTTAGACTGATTAGTTAGGGACAACTGCAGTGGTTTCTTCTATGTATTTTACTGACAATTTACACCTTTTAATTGCAGCTGGCAATTATTGTGCACACACTGAAGGCTAGGCAGTCCTGAAATTTCCTCTCCTTTAAACCCAGCCTCCCACAAGGTCTTAGGGCATGGGCCAAAGGTAGACAAGTCCTTCGCTACAGTTAAGGCAAATAACCTTTGGTTCAACTCTTAATCAAGTCCTTCCCCCCCAGGCAACTCCTAAAGAGCAGTATTTGCTGCCTGCATTCCTATCCGCTCCCTGATTTCCTAAGCCCCCCACCACAATCACACATTAACCTCTGCCAACATCATTCTCGCTGGCTCCTTCAAACCAATTTTCTAAATTTCTCTTTCAAACTAGTTACAAAGGTTTCTGAACTGCAAGATTTGATAAGTCACAGCAATGACCCTATCTATCTCTTCAGACCAATATTCGATGTCAGTGAGGTTTTCACTGCAATTATGAAACCCTTGATAGAACAATATCCGAAGGAGGAATTATTTATTCTGGACCACGGTTTCTGAGATTTCCTGCAGAAGTCCTTGGCTCTGTTGCTTCTGGGCCCATGGTGAGGTAGAAAATCACTTATGGTGAGCCTACTTGCCTCATAGTATAGCAGAAAGAGCTTTCTCTTCTCCCCATTTTTATTCCTTCCCAGCCCTAGCTGATGGGAAGATGTTGTCCACATTCAGGGTGGGCCTTCTCCTGTTGGTTATTTGCCCATAGACACATGTAGCCGTTTCTCAGTACAACTAAATTGAAAATTGAATTTAACCATCACACTAGGTGAACATTTGACCAAATGGTTGAGCCCATCCCTTATGGTCAAAACTGAGTGGTAGAGAAGTTGAATGTACATTCACCCTGTAGGGAGTCATAACTATGAAGCCTAAAATATAGCTCCTACAGCCTTTGTAAGGGGAACTCTTCTATTTTTGGAAAGTTGTAGGACACAACTGAGCTGCCATGAATCACAATTATAAGGGCTTCCTTAAGTATGAACACCATCTCACGCTGGCCTTCCCACAAAGAAATATAAACTGATGTGTTTTGGATGGAAAGGAGAGGAGCATCCTATGGTAGGCACATGGCTTTGAGCTGTAGAGCAACCCTGGGAGGCGGATATTCTTAACATGTGTTTCAAGTAAAGAAATAGAACTTGTCAGGGTGAAGCAGGCTTGGAATCCAGCCCATTCCAGCTCTTCTGTTCCACTGCATCCGGCTGGTAAATTGGATGTGTAACATTTGAGTTGCCGGCCACTTGCACAGGTGTTTGGAGAAGGCTAATAAACAGGTGGTTTAAGACAGTGTTGTAAAATTATAGACCCAGAAATGCAGAGTGATCCATGGATGATCAGTGTGTTGAGAAAAATGCCTTCAAGGAAAATTCATCAAAGAAAAGAAAAAGAGGTTAGATAAATATTCCTAAGTGAATGAAATTCCCTTATGCCAAAGTTAATTACTGACCATTTTTTTAAAATGTAAAAGAAATTTTAGATTAAAGAAAGAATAAACTAGAGGTTTCACTGTTGTAAAAATAAATTTTTATCTATCAAGACTGGTCATCTCTCTATGAAAGGAGGCCACAAGCCCATGAACTTGAGTTCTAAAAGTGTTAAAATTACCAAATTCAATATTTATAAAACAAAACCTGTTTAAGACAATATTGACAGGCAGTATTTCCTATACAATGGAACACTGTTACAGCAACTAAGAACTAAACACAGCAACACAAGTGAATCTCAAAATAAAGTTCAGTGAAAGAAGCCAGGCACCAATGTTTATGCAAAGTTCAAAATCAAGTCCAAACAGGGGGATGTTTATGGAATGCAGCAAAAAGAAACATTTTAGTTTACTTTCCCTTTTCAGACAGGGGAATGACCAGGGGCGTTGCTAGAGGCCTTCTTGGTAAAGGTGTATCACCCTGTGCAATCATGGCTCAGCCCCTGTTGATAAAGCCTCTGTATTTAAAGAGGCTAATTGACAAGGAGAAGAGTAGAGAAGTGCTCTTAATTTGTTCCTGTATCACTTGACTTTGCAGCCTTGGGCAGGCATCACCAATTGAAAACAGAATCAACTGTCCATCAATGCAAAGACCTCCACACCTCCCAGGATACCACAAAATTGTGCATTCTATTTGCTAGACTTCCTTATGTTTTAAGAAAACACTGACTTGATTTATGGATAAGATTAGGAAATAGATGCATAAAACAAAGTTCTTTTTTTTTTTAAACCTGGATTTCAACTCCTGACACAGTTTGGTGGCGAAGATTGTCCTTAATCCATCAAAGAAAATATACTTTCCCTTAATGGTGCTGAGCTACTAATCAACACCCAGTACAGGATTTGATTTAGATGTTGGTATTTAAATTCTCAGGTAAGAGTCCAGAGACAATTCTAAGCTCTACTCAGCTGTTCTCCCTGACCTTGTCTTTTTCTATCGCAGGGGCTAACCACTTTCAAGCTGAAAAACATCTGGAGAGATTTAAATTCAATTATGTAAAGAAAAGTGCATCTGGGCTGCAAATTTTTATATAAAGCTGTGAAAAAAACTGCCAGGATTTGTTTTCTGTGAATCATGTACACACACACACACACACACACACACACACACACACACACACACACACACAGAGAGAGAGAGAGAGAGAGAGAGAGAGAGAGA